TTACTATATTAAGTTTTATTCCCTGATCCGGATGATTCTTTATTTACTACCTCTACCTCCCAAGTAAACAAGAAATCTATTTCATATCTGTGAAGCTAAAGAGTTGTTGTGGTCAAGATTATTTATGATTTCTTAAAGACATTAGTGCCTCTTGAAGTGCGGTTTGAACTGAAAAATATAATAATKCGCACTGGTTTATTTTGTATCAGATCGATTATATTCTTTTAAAAATGAGGAACTCTATATCATTGTAGAGTAATTTCTGCTATTTGTAACGACCAAAGTCTATCCAATTTTATATGCGGTGTTATGCTTTTTACTTTAATTTCGGTCACGAATAATTATCGTTTATGCAAATTGTTGGTATTTTGATGGAAATGCCGGTAGTGCCGGAAATGTGTAATTTGATGTTTTACATATGTTGTACGGGAAGAGGTCACGCAATTCCACTGTATAACCACGTGGTGACAACGTGTTAAAAAAATGAAGACAAAGATAGATTTATTAAACACCTCACTTGCAGCTGAAAAACTGAATTGCTAAGATTTACAATGATCTATAATAATAAAAATAATAGAAATAATAGAAACTATTTCAATAATGATGAATTATAATAGCAAATTTTAATTAAAGATTTTAAAAGAAGTGATTTGCTCCTCAAACGCGCCCATACTCCGAAAAGCCCAGAAAAAACTAACAGCAAGCTTCTCTCCAAGCCTGCCGGGACGTGCGTCTGAGAAACCCTACACCTCACCAACAGCCTACAGATAATATACTATGATATATGACAGTGAAAAAGGATTAGTTAATCCATAATTATAAATTCATATCAAAATATAAAGGGCTAGGTCGAACAATTCAACTTGTGAAATGGCTAATACTGGCATTTATAAAGCAATTCTTGAAACGATTTGTTTTGCAAACTGGAAGACAGAACTCCTTTTTACGCCGAAGGCAAATGGTGGAACTGCTTGCATTAAGAGGCAATAACTTATACAAACTACAACTAGGGTCAGAGACTATTTTCTTGAAAAAGGAGGCACATAGTTTAGATCTACGTTGTTTTAAAGTTGTTAATTTAGCAAGAGAAAGAGATTGTTCGTAGGAGAGATCATAGCCATAAATAATACGCATTGCGCGCTTTTGGATACGTTCCAAAGATAAACTAAGATACTCAGGTAAACTGAAATGGAATACTTGGCAAGCATACAAAAGAACTGATTGAATACAAGAAACATAAAAAGAAATTAAATCTTCTGCAGGAATATTAGCAAGCCTTAMTTGCACTAGAAAAAAGAGTYTCTTTGAAGCTTTGCTYATAATGYCATCTACGTGAGGGTTCCATYTCTATGGAATGTTTCTTGTATGGGCATGATTCTTATGATCTACCTTATGGTTCATCCTTGATYTTACAATACAGTGGAACCCCGCCTTACGGCCACCMGCTTAATACGGCCACCSCGTTATTGCGGTCAGCTCTTTTGGGTCCCGACGAAATGCCCATACATTTACTGTAAAATGTACCCGCTTAATACGGCCACCCGTTAATACGGCCAACGGCCACTTTTTTGTGGCCCGATTGACAAACTTCCATACTTTTTAACCCCGTATTACGGCCAGGACAAATAGGTTACAGTTTAGATCTTAATGTAAATACTCAAAGTTGTTGCTGCAAAATCTGTGATTCTTTTATTCATTCTTTTAACATTCTACAGTAATGCTTTTTGTAGAATCAGAATCAACACAACAACAACTTCAAACAGAGAAACACGTACAGCGCGATGCGCTAAAGTATGTCCGCATTTATTTTATGGCGGTACAGTATTAAAACAAGCCATGCCGATAGCCTGTCTRSGGTGATGTCCAGCCTCGAGTCAGTATGGCTTCAAAGGAAGCTTCATTCGTCTGTACAGAGCAAAGTCACTACCTATTTTAAAAAGTAGTTGTTACTGTACTCAGTTTTCTCTGCTCTACTGCTATATCTACAGTCCTGTACTACTGTATAATTTAAAGTTTTAAAGTACTACCAAAGTTGAGTTATAACTGAGCTCCAATAGCATCAGAAGTTTTAGAAACATTATTTAAAAATACAATATGCATTATTGCACTTCAATTGTTTAGTATTTTCGTACTGATTGATAAAACACGTTTTTAACATATTTTTGACAGCCCGCTTAATACGGCCACCCCGTTAAAACGGCCACTTTTGAATGTCCCTTCAGTGGCCGGATTAACGGGGTTCCACTGTATCGTTCCAGAAGGTCTGATCAGTCCATAGAAACATAAGTTTATCAACGAGAGCGGTTCAGTTTAACTGTTGTTATTAAGTTTTTATCCGAGAAGTCGTCCGTAAAGCCTGAATATATGRTTCTGGAGATATTCTGGAGGTGGTTTAGTTTGAAAATTAAATTTTGCTTTTATTTGGAATATAAAATCCCTYGGAGGCCTCTATCCACAGGCAGCCCAAGCAATTAATTTGTGTTGTGTACGGAAGGATTTACCGCAGTATTAAAGTCCAAGCATATTAAACAAAAAAAGTTTTTTCCCCACAATAATAATATTCAAACATATCAGTTGCTCCTTTGTTGTTGCATTAACTAAAGATTATGAAAGCAGAATTAAACACCATCAACAGAATAAATTGTTTGTAACCAACCAAAAAGATCTATACAAAGATTTCAACACTGCGAAGGTAAATRGTAAAGGAAACGCTGTGAAGCCAAACAAAGAAGATGTACGAAGATTCTGGAATGACTTATGGGCCCAAGAAAAAAAGCACAATCCCAATGCACAATGGTTAAACGACGTAAAGAAAGACCAGGAGGACATTGAAGAACAAACAGAACTGGTGTTTACGAAAGAAAAGGTACAGAAGGCGGCCAAAAAGATCAAAAATTGGAAAGCACCTGGAAAAGATGAAATACATGGATATTGGTTGAAACATCTACACTGTCTACATGAACGAATAGCGGTGCAGCTACAGCAAGTGTTTGAAACAGAGAACTGGATCCCAGCATGGATGACAGAAGGAAGAACAACACTGATCATGAAAGATGAGAAGAAGGGACCTACTCCAAGTAACTATAGACCTATTACTTGTCTACCAACATTATGGAAGCTGATGACGTCCATCATATCAGAAAGCTTCTATACCCATCTAGAGGAAAACGAATTGATACCATTTGAACAGRAAGGCTGTAGTCGTGGATCGAGAGGAACAATAGACCAACTCCTCATCGACAAGGCAGTTCTGCGAAGTGCAAAGAGAAGGCACAAGAACTTGGAAATGGTGTGGGTAGACTACAAAAAGGCATATGACTCTGTACCTCATAGCTGGATAATCGCTTCCCTTGAAAACATCAAGGCTCAGTCATCGATCGTAGGATTCATGAAGAAAGCAATGTCGCAGTGGAGGACTGATTTAAAGTTAGACGGAGAATCATGTGGTCATTGTGAGATAAAGCGTGGAATATTCCAGGGAGACTCGATGTCACCGTTACTATTCATATGTCTCAGACCATTGACGTCCATACTGAACAACACAAGGAAAGGCTACAAGTTGAACAATGGTAATGTACTGAATCATTTGTTATAYATGGATGATATGAAGCTCTATGGGAAGAACGAGAAAGAAATCGAGTCACTACGAGTCACTGGGTAGCATGGGTGGCGTTCGCGGCTAAAGCGTCGTCTTTCACCGCTGTGAGTCCAACGGGTCGGGTCGCTGGTTCGAGCCCTGCGGTCGCCACATGTGAATKGAGTTTGTTTGATGTGTTGTTCTCTCCTATGCTACGAGGGTTTTTTCCGGGTTCTCCGGTTTCCTCCCTCCATAAAAATCAACATGTGAGTTGAGCGTTGTGTGCATAGAATATTAAATGTAGTGGTAGTGCGTGTGAGTGAAAAGTGTCCCCAATTAGTGCGAAAGCGCTAGAACGACTAGACACTTAAATAAAAGTGATTAATTAATTAATTWATTTACTACACTCTGTACGAATATTTAGTACAGACATTGGGATGACATTCGGGGTAGACAAGTGCGCCAGAGTAGGAGTAAGAAGAGGAAAGGTGGTAAAGAGGGATGGTCAGCAGATAAAGAACTTGGACGATAATGATCACTATAGGTATCTAGGAGTGTTAGAGAAGGAAGAAGTCAACCATCAGAAAGTAAAGAATAGCCTCCAACTAGAATACAAAAGGAGATTAAGACTGACTCTTAAGTCAAAGTTATCAGGAAGAAACCAGATTTCCCCCATTAACGCCTATGCGGTTCCAGTAATAAGATACACAGCTGGAATAGTAAATTGGAMAAAGGAAGAACTCCACTCTCCAGACAGAAAGACGCGCAAAATAGTAACCATGCATCGAGGGCTACATCCACGTGCGGATATAGATCGCATCTATATCTTCCAAGATCTATGGGTGGAAGAGGATTTAAGATCGTAGAGGACACTGTAAGAGAGGAAGAACTTTCCCTGAAAGAATATGTCRGCAAAAATGAAATTCTATGGAACATTGTAAAGGATACCATGAAAGAATCAGAAGAGACCAAGAAAGAATAYCAACAGCGCAGGCAGARCGAAAGACTTGAGAGATACACAGGCAAGCCTTTACACGGAAACTACATCAAGACGTGCGAGGACAAGATGGATAAGGACAGCATTTGGCTCTGGCTAAAGAAAGGAGACATTAAAATAGAGACGGAAGGACTACTCACTGCTGCACAGGACCAAGCACTACCTACCAACTACTTGAGAAGCAAGTACAATAGTAGKGATTCATCGCTGTGCCGGTTATGTAATGAAAAGACGGAAACTSYATGTGGGCCATCTTGTAGCTGGATGCAAATTACTGGCAGGGAGAGAGTATAAAGACAGACATGACAAAGTGGCAAGAAAATTTCATTGGCACCTATGTAGGAAACACCAAATACAGTGCACTACAGATAATTGGTGGGATCACGAACCAGAGAAAGTAGTGGAAAAAGAAAAGGTCATGATCCTATGGGATTTAATGTTTACAMGAATAAGAAGATTGAAGCAAGAAGACCGGACATCATAGTCGTAGATAAGAGCAAGAAGAAGGCGAAACTGATTGACATCTCAGTGCCTATGGACCATAGAATTGATGAAAAGGAAATGGAAAAGATTGACAAGTACCAAGACCTAAGAATAGAAATAGAAAGATTGTGGAGGATGAAGGCCATGGTAGTTCCGATAGTCATTAGATCGCTCGGAACAATATCAAAACAATTTAAGGAACATGTTCAGAGACTAGAACTTGATAGTATAAGCTTGTTAGACCTACAGAAATCTGTACTTTTAGGCACGGCAAACATCTTAAGAAGAGTACTTCAGCTCTCAGGAGCCGGGTAGAATCTCGAGCTGAAGGTTAATGTATACCAGCAAAAGTGTTGTAATATTCTTATTTTGCTGTGAAATAAAGGAATAATAATGATAAAATAATAATAATAATAATAACGGTTTAATGATGACATATCTACAGAGTGACTTTACATTCATCATGAAATCACATAGTTGGACTGATGAGCTAGACCTCAATGTTCTGATGTTTCCTTTTTGTTCTAACTTAACGTAAGATGGCCATTTTGTATCGTAGATGGCTTTGTGAGCCGTTCTTAATAGATGGAACTCAGTCCTTTCTTTCACTGTAAGCCATTTTAATTTCAAAATTTCTTTCTCTTTGCTAATACTACTACTCCACAGTTTTGTACTCGTTGTAATCTTGATGTAAAATGTTGAGGCAGTGGAAACATGACAGTATCGTTGTAGTCAATTTTTGACATAATAAGTGACTCGACTAGTTGTTTTTTTACTGAAGGAGATGCAAAGTTTCGCAATTTCTTCAATGTACAAATGACTGAATAGCATGAAGATACTGTTTTCTTAACATGTTCTGACCACTTTAAATTGTCTTGTATCCACATAYCCAAAAATTTTGTACAATTCACTCTTTCAAGATCTCATTGTCCAACTTTAATTTCTGGAGATTGTTGCGAAAGATGATGGATTCTTGACATTTGATCAGTAGTAAGTAGCATTTAACAGAAGATTGGAGTTAGTAGACCATTCCAGTACAGCGTCAATTATGTCATTTAATTTTTTAGTTGCAGAATCAATTTCTTTAGGTGGACAATGCTTTATAAAAGTTGTGTCATCTGCGTATTGAAATGAAGCACAGTCATGGCATTCTTTAAGATCGTTTACATAAAGGTTAAATAATACCGGTCCTAATATGGAACTCTGTGGTACACCAAAGGTGACATCAATGAACTCAGAACTTTTATCGTTCACTTGCACAAATTGTCGTCTCTCACTGAGATAACTCAAGATCCAATATAAAAAATCCGTAGRGAAACTCATTTTATTCAATTTCATTACGATGGTCTTATAGTCAACTGTATCAAAAGCCTTGGAGAAATCAGCAAAAATTTCATAGCCTGTATGATATCATCTCTAAATCGCAGTAAAGTGGTGGTAGTAGGATGTCCCTTTCTATACCCTGATATGTTCTCATTCGGTACGTTATACTCATTCATGTGTTTTATCATCTGATTATGTACTAGTCTTTCATATATCTTCGAAAGCACTGGTAGTATGGCTATACTGGTCTGTAGTCATCACAGGATTTAGGCCTATCAACTTTAGGTATATACTATCATATTATCATAATATCCCATGACTATGAAGCCCATACGCYATTTTTACAGTCATAAGGGGGATAAAAGTGATCAGTCTGCCCTTCGAATTTCAAATAATTCTTAGAAAGCTACCTTGAGCCTCGATTTAATGATTTGTGTGTGACAGTTAGAACAATGGTTTGATGGTAGTCTATGCATTGTTTCAATATTTATACGGCTTATGGTAAGAACTGGATGTAGATCTTATTGTGCAAAGTCAGATGTGAAGTAGAGAGGGCGGCAAGCGTCTGAGAAACAATGAGGCAGCTGGCTAGGATGCATAGAATAGGCGATATGTTGAAGGCAGCAGAACGCTAGACTGGCTGCTAAGAATATGTATAACTAACCTGTAGTGTGGAGGACTGACAAGGTACCACATGACTGGAAAAAGGGGATTATCTTCAAATTCCAAGAGAAAGGTGACTTCACGAACTTTACTACCGTGGTATCACTCTCTTAAGCAGAACTACAAAAGGTTTCTGTACCTTGGTTTTCAGTAGTGCCGTTGACAAACGTCTTAGATAGAAAATCAGGCTGGATTCAGAGCAGGAAGGTCGTGTGTTGATCAGTGTTTTGATTTGCTGCAGCTTGTGGAAAAATATCTGGAGATRCAGGTACCTGTGAAGATTAACTTTATTGATTTTAAAGCTGTTTTGACAGCGCGCACCGCAGTGTTCCTCTCGGGAAGGTACTAGGAGCGTAAGTGTTTCCAGAAAAGATAGTAAACATCATGAACAGCACCTACAACGGATCAGAATGCTCCATCACGTTAGAAAGAGAAGTCACAGAATGGCTTTCAGTGATGATAGGTGTCATACTGTGTATGGTCGCCGCACAGCTGTTCAGCGTTTTCATTGACTGGGTTTTGAAACACACCTCGGACGAGAATGACATGGTAATCGTACTAGAAAGGAGAAGAAGGTCCCGATGCAAGCAGCAAACGGCTATATGTCCTGGATTTTGCAGACGATGTAGCTCTTTTCGATGAACCATGAGGCAGAAGAGAGACTACAAATTGCAACTACAATCAGCCCCAACTAATCAACATTGTACTGAAGAAAACGGTTAACATTTTTTTGACATGGCTCGGACATGTTTTCGGGATGCCTACGAAACGCTTGCSCTGCAAACTTCTCATTTGTCACCCACCAAATGTGTACGGAATACACGGCTTCTTTTAAAGTCTTTTTCTCTCTTCCTATCTCTAAGGCTATCTTGTCCGAGCCACATAGCGCCTGCAATAAACTGAGAACTCCGCCTATGTACTCAGTGTCTCAGTCGTGCAGCATTCACTAGGACGAAGACGACCCGACAAAAAACGCATACGCTGGAAGGACTCGATGGCGACAGAGACCTGAAGTAGTCATCCCGCACTACATTTGAGGAAGCAGTGAGTGCTGCACGACTGAGACAGAGTACATTGGCGGATTTTTTTCATTGCTGGCGCTATGTGGCTCGGACACATTTGGTCTGTCCCTACAAATGACAATAAAGAATAAGTGCCCGTCCAATAGGTAAACGTTATATTACGTCTTAATTCAGTTCTGTATACCAATATCGTTCAGAAATAAAGGTGAATGCTCCTTGAGTTCCTTGAGCTGCGAGGCTGGTATTCCAAATAGCGGAAAGTGCGCACTTTACCCCCTCTCTCCATGAATGCTTTGCTTTACGTAATCTTTTAAGAGTACTCAAAGCCGCTGARGCTACACTTGTAGAGAGAGGTCGAAACAGACGTGGAGATCCTGAGGATCGAACAATGGACCCCCCCGCTCTAGCTTCGAAGGCCAAGCACTTTTCACAGTGGAGCAGCGGTTTCCTTTCCCAAGGTCAAGTCAATTCATGCGTGAAGTTCAATTCAAATCTTGAATGTCGATTGGGGCACTGCTAAACAGCGAAACACCGGAACGAAACACCGGAACGAAACAGAGACAAATTCTTGATATTACARATATCATGCAATRAAAAARTAAAATAAATCAAAATACACGATGGTACAATGATACTAAAGCGATAAAGCTTACCTTTATGCCCGTGCTTTATGATCTGTGATCAGTATCGATCGCTGATTAGGGAATTTAAGATTTGCAAAATCTACGACGGCGATGTCAACAGGTAGTGTAAGTAATTTATCTTTGGGGTTCTGTTCATTGAAGATTTCATTCAAAACATTAGCAGTAAAGTCAACTCATCACAGGGAAGACAGACTTTGAGGGCGCGAAACCCCAACGTGTAGTTAATACAGTCAATTCAAAAAATGTTGTCGACCAATACAAGCCTACGCGACTGGACCGAAAGGAACTCTGGGTAGTAATCATTGAAGCCGAGTTGACTCCATAATTTTATCTGACTAGTTATGCCTGGTTTACAGCACAAACCTTCGTAGTCGAGCGGGAAGTGTTGAAGGAGACGTTTTTTAATGCCTTCATATTTTCGGAATTGTGAACTGAATCATAACTTCTTTGTTGTTCTTTCCCTAAACCCGGAGACATGCATTTGATGGATCGTTTCTCGCCATTATTATCTTATTACTAGCGGGAAAAATTAATTCAGAACGAATATTTAACCGCTTCAGTGATTTTTACCCATATTCCTTTCGGTCCAGTCGCGTAGGCTTGAGCCGGTCGACGACAACGTTTTTTGGATTGACTGTATAGACTTCCGGTAGACGTCGCCGTCGTAGATTTTGCAAATATTAAAATCCCTAATACCTTTCATTAACAATGTCGTTTCGCTGTCTATCAATGCAATTCTTTCTGGTTCTTTTAATAAAACAAGCATTAGTCCTAACTACTTCTGTCTCTAGTATCTACACCAAAAAAAATATGAAAAAAAAAAAAAAAAAGTTCTCGGGCGACGCCATTAAAC